CATGCAGTTTTGTTTAGGTATGTTTAGCAATGTCCCGTAGTTTTTCCGCTAAACTTTGCTTTGTTTTCGGGATATTGCGTACGCAAAAAACCACTCGCTTTTCCTAGCGACGTCTTTATAAAGCAAAGCAAAAACCAGTGGCAAAAATACAGGGACATGTTTTTCTATTACAGTGAAGACCACATGCAAAAATTCAGCTAATTTGGAGCAAAAAAAAAGAAAAGCAACCAAAATCGTCACTTATACCCTTTTATGACTAGCGTCTTCAAATGTAGTTACAAATGGTTGAGTCTCCAAGGTCTACATCCCAGTCCCCTAAAAAAAAGAATTAATTAAGTGTCTTGAATCTGCACAGCATGGTTGAAACCTGATTTCGAAAATCAATAGCACCAAATGCTGTCAGTTCGTTGTTGGTTTTATACCTGTCTTTCCTAGCCAAAATTGATTGTAACCCGAGAGTTTCCAGAACCGCCCTTCACAGGAATCTTACATTTGGAACACAAATAATGATTACCCAGGAATGTCTTACACAGGAATTACATGATAGCAAACATACACCAAGGTCACTTGGACACGAGGCAAAAACAAGGTCATAGAAACAAGCCATCCACAAGATCGGATTGAAAGTGGTCAAGCTGCCCGTGTTCGCTAGTAACTTTGAACACATTTCTGCATTCTCTATTTTTCTTATCAGCAGTGAACTGCTTGCCAACATTTACTTCGGAGCAGCAAAGATGGTATCCTTTGATGAATGCATGTATGGAAAATTCTCCTTCGATCAGCATTGCAAGAACTGTTACAGCTAACTAGCTACAACCAACTGCGTAGTGTTACAGGCGTGTGTAACATGGTATATGCTTTGTGTTGGGAAGTCTGGGTATGACTTGCTTTGCCAATCAATAGCAATCAATGAATGGCCTTTGTGCAATTATTGATTGATCATTGATTGGCCGATACCAATTGATACCAATTTGCCAATTTTACCAGTTCATATCGATTGATCGCTTACTTTTTGGATCATTCATTTCCATCAGTTGGACACGCTGGCATCTGTTTGTTCTAACAGGGGTTTGTTATGGCAGTGTTCTGTAACTTGCATTTTAATGTTTAGTTAATTGCTTTGGCTGAATTGAAGAATGCTGTTCCTTTCAACAGGGACGTAACTATATAGGGGCCCATTATACTGTTTTTAAAAGTTTTAAACAATAATTGTTAATTTTACTCTAAATTAATTCTTCTTTGCTAAAGCTCCCATATGCTCAAGAGTGTCATCTGTGAAAGATTCTGGTGATGGTAAACTCATTTGTGAGCTGAAACATTGTAAAGATGTTGTACTGCCATCATCACCCTCCCTTACTTGGCAAATGAGAGAAGAATGTTTAGAGGTCCAGTTATGGCTCAGAAACATGAGAAATGCTGAGGTTAAAAACCCTAAGAAGAGAGACAGATTAGTGGGATCAGCATTTGTAGATGTTTCATCATTGCTTCTTGGCCAGCAAAGGAAGCATAGACAAATAAGGTGAGAATCTTGCTATTTGAAAGGAAAAGTACTGAGTTTAGGTGTGGTTACTCTGATGTTAACCTGGTGATATAAAACGTAGATTGATTTTCAGCTGTCTCCTCTGGTTTCTACTGGGACAGATGTCTAAATCGAAAAACTGCTAATCTCAACTTCAACATGATTTTGTCAAGGTTATCCAGTTTTGTGAAGGAAAGATTGCCTGAATGAAGGATTACAGGGGCAGAATAAGTTTTACTTGTAAAGTGACATGAAACTGATTATAAATGTTTTATGCATGTTTTTGAATGGTATGTACTGATTGCTTAATGCTAGTCTTTATCAATTCTGCATCCTCAGGGCTCGTCACTAACACTTACCCTCTTCCCATTGGAAATTAAATTTACTTCTTGGAAAGTAAAAAATAGAAAATGAATCAAAATACTTAATTACCTGATCTGGAAAATAAATTTTGAGCCATGCTGGAAAGTAACTGTTAAGCTAAGAAGGCGTTAGTGAAAAACGTGTTTATAAAAAAATAATCAAATGATAAGAATAACCAGATCCAACAATGATTTTCTGTCTTCAAATGGACAAGTTTACACCCTTCTAGCATTAACCGATCCACGATANTGTTTATAAAAAAATAATCAAATGATAAGAATAACCAGATCCAACAATGATTTTCTGTCTTCAAATGGACAAGTTTACACCCTTCTAGCATTAACCGATCCACGATATTGGAGTATCGAGAGAGCTACCAAGTGGGTCTGGGTACGATGAATACACGTGGTATGTTAATCAAATCCACCATTTTGGATGTCTCCTCTGGGCTTCATTTCGAAAACTAAAATTTTGAGATGGAAAGTAAAATTTGAAATCTACTTTCCAAAGTGGAAGGTGGTGTAAACAGTTAGTGTCAAGCCCTGATCCTGAAGTAACTTGCAAATAGCGCAGATCTGAAGTAGAGAAGTAATAAAATTTTTTTCTATTTTTGTGGTACAATTTTTCAGAACTTTAGGTAAGCATTTAGCAGTCTGGTGAATTTCAATTTACAGTTTGCACTTAAATTAACTCAAAATTGTCTGTTTATACAAATAGTATTTTTACTATTTAGCATCTGTGGGTTGGAAGTTTTTTTTTCAGGAGTAAGCAACCAGGGAAGACAGCTGAAATTCAAGTTAGATAAAACTGAGTTGGTAATTAAGTAGCCAGTCTTCAGAGCAGTAAATAGGTGACAGACTAAATCCTGGCCTGATAGAGTCTTAACATATTCATACATTTGTATACATGTAATCAACTGAAGTGGTCGCATTGCTCTCAGGTATTTGAATGTGTAAGGTTACGTCTTCACGTGGTTTGACAGCTAGGAATGCCATGCAGAAAAAAGTCATTTAGCCCGTGTTTTCATGAGAGATGTTTACCTTGGTTTTGTTTTAACTTTACTGAAGTGAAATTTTCAATCATGTGAACACAGTAGCAAACCTCGGTAAATGGCGGCAAAATCAAAAGTAAGCCAACCTGGGTTTGTGGACAGTTGAACGCCTCATCAGGCATGGTTTAGCTCTGTAACCGAGGAAAAGCAGACGTTGTCGCGACATCTTGGCTGCAAGTGTTCACGCGTTCCGCGTGTGGAGAAGAGAAAAATAAACAAAGATTCCTCCTAATGTAAGTAGGTTTCAGGTCAACGGGCAAGAAAAAAGTGAAGTAAACTCATGTTTAGGCAAAGAAATCCCAGAATGCTGTTTTCCATTCATCGTCAAGTGCCGTAAGTGTTTCCTTTCTGTTAGGAGCTCAGTAGCTGTACAGGCAGGTGTAAATAGAAGAAGACCTACCACAAATAGAGAGAAAAAAAAATCGAAATTGAGATCTATTTAGAAGAAAAGCAAATGTTGGAAGCAGCCCCGAATAAGAAGAAGTACTGGTAAACATTTAGGTAGCCTGGGCTCCGCGGCAGATGCCGTTTCAGGTTTTTTGCGGGAAGAGGCTTGGCGAGATATTAAAATTTTCTTTCCACTATTCATCTACAAAGCTTTACATTTAAGGAGAGTTTGGCCTGACATCACCACAAGCAAATTGACAATGATCTGCATTTGGCATTGAAGTAAAGTCAAATTTTATAATTTTCCAATAGTTTCTGAACAGTATTGCAACACTTGCTTTCCGAGAAAACCAGCTCAAACCATCCGTTGTATGCAGCCTACTTTAGTTGATTAGTTTCGTGTAAACAGCTTCTCTAACAACTGCGGTTTAGTTACGAAACCTCAGTAAGCAGTAACCATAGTAAACCTTCTCATGAAAACACGGCATTAATTTGCTCAGGTTATCCTTTACCCTGTATCAACTGATATTACAAGTGCATAACAGGTTTTGATTTTAGTACTGAAACCATACTCTAAACATTTTGAGTATTCAAAGCCATCTTCAGAGCCACTTAACAGATGGTGCATCAGTTCATGGTGCTCACATGTCAGGAGCTGAGAGAGCTACTCTACAAAGAAAGTAGCAAAAATACTTGAAATTGAGATGCCATATAGGAAGACACCTGCTTAACACTCACCCCCAATCAAATCCTTGTATTCAAAGCACAATAAAGTATCTGGGACTTCAAGAAACACCAGACAGAGTAATGACTTAAACATTCCACGTTGCCGACTGGCTACCGGACAAAGATCATTTACATATCGCGGAGCAAAAATCTGGAATGAGCTGAGTGATGATTTGAAAAGTTTACCTTCTGTGAGAGCTTTTAAGGGACACTTGACCAAACATATTTTAAATGTTAATAATGTAAATTCTTAATATTCAATTTTAAACTTTGTAAATTTTTAAATCTTTAATACTGTAATTTTAGACTCCTTTCCCAGTTTGTTTATTCATTTTAATTGACGTATTTTTCTCTTTTTTATTCCTTTTGTAACTGAAAAGCCCCTTTGGGGAGTTGCAAATAAAGCATGTATGTATGTATGTATTATTTCTGACCGTCTGAAGGAACATTTACTTAATTTGGTATATGTAATAAATTATCATAGAAAAGCTCATTCCTGATGTTGTTTTGTAGTGGGTTGTACCCACTGTTCAGGTCTGGGGCAAGTGATCTGTGTGGTGCTTGTATCCATATTCAAGTCTCCCTTAACTTGAGTTCTGATGATGACTTTGACCATCAGGTAAGGCTTCTTTCTATTCATTAAATGAGAACTTTATATCTCCATATACACTAGAGCACCTGTGGCATATTGAAACAAAAACTACTTTGAATGGGTAAAATTTCAACTGACAGTAATTGGGGATCAGGGAACTGTGTTTTGTGTGAATAGCTACTTTAAATCCCTTTGGAAATGTTGTGATGTGTTCACAATATCACGTTCCTTTTTGCAAAAGTTGTGCAACAACTGAGAAGTGTTTCAACGAGAAGTATTGAATTGTAACCTGCAACAGTGAAAGACTGATTAAATGAATTTGCACTTTCATTTGGTGCCACGGAGTCTGCAGCAATGTTTTGAGCACTTTCCTGGTTTCTTTTGCCGCAAACTTAAGAAATAAAAAAGCTGCTAAGGACCATAGAATTTTTTTAAATGAAAGATCGCAATAAGATCTATCTGAAAAAGCAAAAAACAATTTTTTGAAAAATGTTAAATTTTGGGGTATACTGATACCTTAAACTATTCCAATAGTGAATTCTGCACTAACAAATTTCAAAATGATTAATTTATGCATTGCTCCATCCTGCTGAGAAATTTACATGAAAACCATTGTTTTGAGAATCGATTATTCAACTACTGTTCATTTGCTGCTGGCTTTATTCTGCATTGGGAAAAAATGAAAAATCATTTAGATTTAATTTGCACTAGCAACCTGAAGATAGTTGTCCATGATACTACTTTCTACCAACTGTGTTATTGCAACATGCACAAATATGAAACAAATTTATTCATGATTTTACAATTTATTGTGTGGAGGTGTTTTACAAAATTTTCAATTACTCGGCGATAGGTAATCCAATCCCAAAACAAAATTGTTGTTTACAGATAATCATACATGAATATTGTCCACAAATTTCTGATCCAGAGCTGTAATATTTAATCTGTGGAAGTTACGCAAAGAAACTGTCTACTGAATTTCAGATCCATAGCTCTATTCTTTCAGCTATGCAAATGATTTATGTAATTACAGAACACGTAATGAGATGGGCATTTCTCAGCTACCAGTATTATTAATCCACACCAAACATTACACCAACCATTATACATGTACAGGGATACTTTTACCTAAATTATCAGTTTGGAATGTCTTCTATTGGAGCTGTATTAATTATTTGATTATTTAAATGCAGTTATTTATTTTTTATCTTGTGTTATTTATCTGTCAGTGTGACTTGGAAGGGCAATTAAGTTCACATGAATCTGTCAGTGGTAGTTCTTCAGTTGAGGATAATGTGCAAGACATCAGATCAATGATTTCCACTCAGGATCACACTTTGCCTGTTAAATCAACACAGCATGAAACAAACAAACAGCTGCCAGTCACTGAAGCTGAGGACAACACATTCATGGCACATGTAATTATTGAACAAGCACTTCACCTTCCTACAGTTCCAGGAGACAATGATGCAAGGTATTCAATCAGATCTATTCAGTACATTTACAGGGAGAAAACTGGTTGAAAAAGTGATGTACATGTTTTGAATTATTATAACATTGGTATTTATTTATTTATTTATTTTACAATTACAATTCAATGGTGTACTTAAAAAATAAAAAATAAAATAAAATCAACAAATAAATTATATTAATTAACATAGGGAAGCCATAAGGGTAATCCGTGCAAGAGTAAAGAAGCTCCATATATATACACGACAGTTCACCTAATGTAATCACAATATAAATATTAAGAACATACATATCATTAAAATTTATTATAGGCTAATCTAAAAATGTATTAAAAATAAAGAAAGAAAGAAAGAAAAGCTCTAAACATCAATAAGCATTCATCAATATGGACAGTTAGTTCCCTACCCCACCCCATCTACAATTGTATGAGAAATATTTAGGTGTAAGCAAATCAGATAATGTATAAAACTATTAAAATTGTGAACTAAAGAAAATGACTGTTATTAAAAGGGCAGCATTGATCCTACTCATAAAAATGAACATAGAGTGAAAAGTTAAGTAAAGAAGTTGGTAAAAATGAGCTAATATCCCAAGAAAATACTTACATAGTTCAAACAAGTTACTGGAGAGGAAAGCATTAACATCAGTATTATATGCTGTACCACCGAATAAACATGCGAAGAAAAGAAAACTGAATTGACAAACTTAGTTTATGGTCAGGTACGTGCGCACTCTGTTTTACTTTTAAAACTTTGAAATTTTATACGTCATAATATTATGTAATAAGAACATTTTAGCCTACTGTTATGTAGTGAACACTTGTTCATGTAGCCATTGCACTGACAATGAAGGATGTACCACCAAAACATGTCTGAAAGACTGGGTTGACCACAACACCTGCCCAACATTGAATTGTGGGGCCAGGACTATCAGAGAATTTTCATTAGATGCATTTATTGTCATTTTCTAATAGTTTCTCAAGTACTTTTGACACCCATTGTACCTTGGTAGTGTCAACGTTGTGTATTTTCAACTCTTTGCTGGCAATTTCTTTTCTGAAAGACATGCTGTCAGTTTATCAGAGTGCATGCTCAAAACAATTAGTAATTTAAAAGTGAAAATAGAAATGCTCCCAAAGGAGCCATTTGTTGGTTGGAGGGCTCTGTGTTGGACATCTGTCAAATGATTGACAGACAGACAGACAGACAGACAACCTTTACTTAAGTACGATTAGAATTAAAACAAATGACTGTCTGATGTCAGATGACTTTCTGTTGGTTAATTGACTGTTGGTTGTTTGTTGGGGCAACAGGTAACAATTTTCCTGGTTTTACATGTATGTGTCAGCCGATTGTTAGTCAAGGGTTGGCTCACAGTCCACCAGCTTTCCATCAGTAAAGTGTTGGTACAGTAAGTTGTTGATTAAAATAATTTTAAACATTCACTTTGACAACAGTGTTGGAAGGGAAAATTCATTGGGAATGGATCCACTACTAACAGTTACTATGACTGTATGCCAACCTTGGTGCAAATGCTTGCAAAACTATCATGATAATGGGCAGTTAATGATGATCTCAATCCTCTGGTCTGATGGTCTCTCATAATTATATTCATTATTATGTAATACATGTGAGCCCACATGGTGATTGCCCAAATGATAACAACAGAGCTGTGGAATGAACACTGGTTGAAGGTGGCCCTTTATTTAAAACAATCAGATTCAAGAACTCTACCAGGTTGTGTCAGATGTTCCCTCTAAATTAGTAGCACATGTACTTTGGCCAACAATTGACATTCAGTTGACAGGTTACTGACAGCTTAGCATCATGGTAGCCATTCTTCACAATTACCAGATGAAGGTTAAGGTTAAAAGTGAAAGTGGTGTGTGTATGTCCAAAGAAAAGATTTTGCATTAAATGGTATTTTAAGTGTGGCAAGAATTTCAATTTGTGTATTTTTTATTTTTGCAGATTACTGCCCAATGTGTATGTTTCTTATCAAACACTTGCCTCCTTACCCCTGGCATCTACACCAGTTGTCAAGTCTTCATGTAATCCGAAATGGGAATATCAGAAGCTGGAGAGGATCAGTTACACTTCACTTAAATCACAGGTGAAGTGTTATCTAGTATACAATAAAAACATAGTAGTGTATAACCTCATTTTCTGCCCCTAACAGTAACCTTGCTTATCTTACTTTTGTTCTCACAATTCAAACAGACTATATCAAACTAGGGGTCATGTGCTTAACTCAAGGTTAATTTGCAAGAATGCCACTCAAATATGGCAAACAAAAATTTCATATAAACCTAATATTGTATAACATGTTGAGAATTCCAGTGTGCTCATGTTTGCTGACAAGCTGCTGCCAATTAATCAAAGAGTGGCTGATGAGTTGAACTCAGCATATCCAGATAGTGATAGTACGGTGGGCTTGAACCCAGGACACCCTTGCATCAGCATTCCTGCAAACTATTGCACCAAGTGAGAGAAACATATATACATGTATAATGAGATTATTTCTTTGTTAAGAGCCTGATATGGCTTTTATTCATAGATAATTACAGTTGAACCTCCTGTAAACAACCACCCAAAGCCTAGGTGGTCACTTACAAGAGCTTAGACCATATTGGGTCAAACTTTGGCCTCATTAGCATATGATAACTGCAGAGAGGTTACCCCATGTTTTAAATGTTTTATTCTTGTGAAGTCAATTTCGAGAAAAGTCTGGTACTTCCCATTGAGTAATTTACGTTTCTTGTACTACCCAGGAATTCGAGAATGTTACAACACCTTATTTTTCAATTTCCGGTCTATTATCTAATTAAGTGGTCGCTTACGGGAAGTTAAAAACAAAGGAAAATTTCAAACTTCTAGCTCTAAAAGTGGTCGCGGTCACTTACAAGAGGTTCCAAATATAGTGACTTGACTTGGAAACGCTTCGTATTTTGGAAAACTGGTCACCGAAGAGAGGTGGTTGCTTATGAGAGGTGGTCGCAACTGGAGGTTCAACTGTAATACAGTATGATATCAAGGCTGCTTTGTAACGGGCACCCGGGCGCCTGAGGCCCCTAAGTTCCAAGTGAGGGTGACTAAAGTTTTGTTCAATGAGCCCGAGTGGGCGCCTAAATGTGGAGTTTACATTCCCATCTAATCTGTCCAATGACTTCAATCTTCTCGTGAAATCAGTCAAAAAATCATTCACACAATAAATTAAACGGAAAACAACAGCTACTCTGGTCCTCTTTTGCTTTTATCATGAGAAATATGGGCCAAAACATGGCAAGAAAGTCTCTCTCTGCTCATAAACAGCATATTTGAAAGTCCTGCTATAATGCATTGCAAGTTTAGTATTGAATAAATGCACATCATGTATGCCAATGGATTTTGTCTCTGTTGATACCTTACTGATTCCAGTTGCAAAATAACTACTTTGATAACAAATATTTTTGGAATTGGAGAGATGATGCTGCTGACATTATATTTAAATTGAATAAAGATAAATGTGTCTAAATTCTCAGGCTTTTTTTGCCCGATACTTTGGAAAACTTCATGTGCTGAATGAATTTTTTTAGTTTCTGAAAGAATATTTATGACTAAAGTCAAAATATTCATGTAACTAGCCAGCAAAAAGAAAACATCATTTCAATTCTTTTTGCATACTAGGGTTTTATATTTTAAATTATCAAACAAATTGTCGTGACTCCACCCAATATACCAGAATATATTTTCTCCAAAGAAGCAACCTATATAATGCGGTAATGCTGCCTCAAAATCACATTTAGTTTATACTCATGTCCCAAGCCCTTGAAAGGAAAGCACATATTTTCAGTGAGGCCACATTCAAACCCCTACAATGTCTCTTTCATTTTTATTTGTTTTCATTTGCAGCTTGCATTTCATGTTTTGTACAATGTATTTTGTTTTGTTAAAATAGAAGAGCAAAACTTAAAAACAGAAGCAGCAACATATTTTTTTGTGTGTGGAGAGCATGCGCGGGCTGGCCGACGACAGCCACATTTTCTCGTGAAGAAAGGCGTCTTCCCTCAAAACTCTTCAGAATCAGTCGAAAAAGCCCAGCAACAGCATGAAGGTGGTGTAAAAGATATGCCCTTTAAAAGGACAGGTGATAAAAACAAGCGAGGGGAAAGAGGGTCCACCGACGACGAAATTGCAGATCCTAAATGTGTCAACATTGCGTCTGCAGACTTTCAGCCTGCAGATGCAGTGGAGCGGGAAGATAACCAGCCCAACCTCTCAGATATCCATGCAATACTCAAAGATCTTCTAAAATCAATGGACAGACTTTCTAATGAAGTTGCGGAGCTAAAAACCTCGTTCAAGCAACATGAATCTGAGCTAAGAACTGCCAAAGAATCACTAAACGCAGCGCTTAAGTACAACAACAAACTCAAATTGGAATTGAAAGCGACTAAACAACGGGTGAAAGAGCAGGAAGAAGAAATCGACGAACTCTACGAAAATATGGACACGCTCGAACAGTATACAAGAAAAAATTCCCTCGAGATTGAGGGCATTCCTGAAAATGTTTGCAACGAC